CTTTAAGCTCCATCTGACTGCTGGGAAGGTATACAATCCCTCCCTTGGCTGTTATCAGTTTTTTGCCTGCTTGCCATATTCCTGCTTGCTGATCCCTGCCTTTTCCTGTAGCTTTTATCCCGTACTTTGTATGTTGTTACCCCATTCTCTGCTCCCCTTGTTTCCAGCCCTAGTCCTTCTTATGCCCTGTTTATATCAGCTCCCCTCCATGTGTATATAGTTAGGTGTTGGTTTGATTTTGATTTACTATCATGTTTATTTTTCACTTTTGCTTTGCTTATGTGTTGGTGTTGGACTGGTGTTGTGTACATTAACAAGACTTACTTTAATCATACAGTCTGATTTCAGTTTCCTAGGTGTGGCTACAGAGATCTGGTCATTATTATTATTATAATACAGTATTTATAAAGCGCCAATGGTTCGCTCAGCGCTGTGGTCATCCCTGCTGCTAGATGCCTGGTTGTGGTGTTCCCTACATTTACTTTATTTTATTCATAAGTGGAAAATGCTACCACCACAGAGTTAGATTCCCCATATCATAATCTGTATTACCGAATATGTTTTATTGCTCTAAAACACAGAAATGTATCACTTATATTTATCAGATTCGCCATGGACTACTGCATCCGAATCATCAGCCATCAGCCATAACTGCAGTTTATACTATTATGATAAATAAAGCAATGTCTGCCCTATATATATTTCTGGAAAAGTTGAAATCTGGGATCCCAAGGCTAATATTTATTTTCATCACTACACATTCAAAACCATTATCACTTTAAACTGCTTTGCAATATGTGTTCTCTAATCCACATGTCATTTTATTTATATATATATATATATATATATATATATATATATATATATATATTTTAGTGGTTGTAAAAGCAGAAGGTTTTTTTTTTACCTTACTGCATTCTATGCTGTAAGGTTAAAAACATTCAGCAGCTTCCCCCACAGACCCCTCTACATACATACCTGAGCCTGATCTTTATCCTGCAAAGTGAGAACCAAAGCTCTTTCGGCTCTCACGCTCCTCATTGGCTCAGATGCTGTCAATAAAAGCCAGTGAGGAGGGAGGGGGACAGGGCTGAACTTCGCTCTGTGTGTTTTATGGTTCGGGAGTGAGCATGCACGAATACCCCCAGAGCAAGCGACTTGCTATGGGGGCACTCGGTGGTGGGGGAGTCAGGATCAACAGCAGAGGATCCACAAAGAGAAGGATTGGGGGATGCTCTGTGCAAAACCTATATTAGAAAATATACCAGTTAAACAATAGTAATTTCTCAGGTCATCATCATGACATAGACATGAGTCATTAAAAAAGCCAACAATGATAATGCAGACAATCATCAGATAGATGAACATAGCATTAATATGCTCTCAGACAAGGACTTGAGTTAAAGAAAAAGTAGCAATCATAATCAGAAGAGCTAGAAGACAGGAACCTGATCCACAAGGGACCAGAAGCATAACAATCCCAATCAGTAGGTTTAGTATTGGTAATATAAAAGTGTAACAGTTGCACAGTGAGGGAAGGTAGGGAAGGGAGAGGGGGAAGAAGAAGATGGGCAGAAACCACTGTCTACTTTCCTGAGAATATAATCAAATTTGGAGCCATGTGAGGCCCTTAAAACATCTTGAAATAAAAAAAAAAAGTAATAAAAGAAAATAATAAGAAAAAAAGAGACCCAGAGAGAGGGAGAAAGAGAGGGAGTCAGCCAGGGGCTCACTAAGGAAGCAATAGATATTGAATCCACGGATCCCATGTTTTATCAAACTTAATATTTGTCAGGGCTCCCAGGTGTGACCAGAGGTGTGTGTGACTGACGCAGGGAAACGCAGACCTCAGATATGTTATAAAACAATATAATTTATTAACACTAACAATACAAACATAAACGCAGTGCAATACTAAACATAATACAGTGCAAACAAACCAAACCAACCACCCACAGATAACAGTACATACAAGCAAGCGTCGTCAGGCAGGCCGGGTCGATATCAATTGGGCAGGTAGGTACAGGGGGAGCAAGCGGAGATTGGTCGGGGTCACAGGCCAGGTTCAGCAGGTAGCTAGCAGCGTAGTACAGAGGGTCAGGCAGAGGGATGGTCAGGGTCACAAGCCAGGGATCAGAACAGGTAGCAGGCAGCGTAGTACAGAGGGTCAGGCAGAGGGATGGTCAGACAAGCCAGGGATCAGAACAGGTAGCAGAGAATCAGACAGGAACAGAGAGCAGGAACAGAGAGCAGGAACAGAGAGCAGGAACAGAGAGCAGGAACAGAGAGCAGGAACAGGATACAGGGCCAAGAGAAACACAACACCAAGGCAGAGTCTGCAAGTCCGGCCATCCCTTAAATACCCCAGCATAATCAGTTCCAGGTGTTAGCTGGCTGCAAAGTTGGGTCTCTGATTGCTGGGAGCACCCGCTGGCCAGCCCTGGTACTGCAGATCAAAAGGCAGGTGAGTCCCACCATTGCTGGCTAGTCCATTCCTGACAGTACCCCCCCCCAAGGAGCGGCCTCAGGACGCTCCAAACAGTCCTAGCTGGGCAAAATGTTCCACCGCCCGGGTCTGGTAACTGGCGGGATATCAAAGACTGGCACACCGGGCAGGACTCCGGGCAGCGGCACTCCGGGCAGCGGGCACTCCGGGCAGCGGACACACCGGGCAGCGGCACACCGGGCAGGGGCACATTGGGCAAAGGCACACCGGGCAGAGGCACATCGGGCAGGACTCCGGGCAGAGGCACATCGGGCTGGACTCCGGGCAGAGGCACATCGGGCTGGACTCCGGGCAGAGGCACATCGGGCTGGACTCCGGGCAGAGGCACATCGGGCTGGACTCCGGGCAGAGGCACATCGGGCTGGACTCCGGGCAGAGGCACATCGGGCAGGACTCCGGGCAGAGGCACATCGGATTTCCAGGCGAAGCAGCAGGCAGCGGGCCACCGGGCGGAGCAGCAGGCACCGGGCCCCGGGCGGAGCAGCAGGCACCGGGCCCCCAAGCGGAGCAGCAGGCACCGGGCCCCCGGGCGGAGCAGCAGGCAGCGGGCCCCGGGCGGAGCAGCAGGCACCGGGCCCCCGGGCGGAGCAGCAGGCACCGGGCCCCCGGGCGGGGCGACAGGCGTTGGGCCCCCGGGCGGGGCGACAGGCATCGGGCCCCCAGGCGGGGCGACAGGCATCGGGCCCCCACGCGGGGCGACAGGCATCGGGCCCCCAGGCGGGGTGACAGGCATCGGGCCCCCAGGAGGGGCGACAGGCATCGGGCCTCAGGCGGAGCGACAGGTCTCGGGCCCTCAGGCGGAGCGGCGGGCGCCGGATCCCCAGATGGAGTGACAGGTCTCGGGCCCCCAGGCGGAGCGACAGGTCTCGGGCCCTCAGGCCGAGCGGCGGGCGCCGGACCCCCAGATGGAGCGACAGGTCTCGGGCCCCCAGGCGGAGCGGCGGGCGCCGAACCCCCAAGTGGAGCGACAGGTCTCGGGCCCCCAGGTGGAGCGACGGGCGCCGGACCCCCAGATGGAGCGACAGGTCTCGGGCCCTCAGGCGGAGCGGCGGGCGCCGGACCCCCAGGTGGAGCGACAGGTCTCGGGCCCCCAGACGAAGCGGCGGGGCACCGAGTCACCAGGCACGACAGTGGGCACCGAGTCGTCTGGCAAGACTGCGGGCACCGAGTCGTCTGGCAAGACTGCGGGCACCGAGTCATCTGGCAAGACTGCGGGCACCGACTCGTCTGCCAAGACTGCGGGCACCGAGTCGTCTGCCAAGACTGCGGGCATCGAGTCAACTGGCGGAACAGCGGGCACCGAGTCGTCTTGCAAGACTGCGGGCACCGAGTCGTCTGGCAAGACTGCGGGCACCGAGTCGTCTGGCAAGACTGCGGGCACCGAGTCGTCTGGCAAGACTGCGGGCACCGAGTCAACTGGCGGAACAGCGGGCATCGAGTCAACTGGCGGAACAGCGGGCATCGAGTCAACTGGCAAGACTGCGGGCACCGAGTCGTCTGGCAAGACTGCGGGCACCGAGTCGTCTGGCAAGACTGCGGGCACCGAGTCGTCTGGCAAGACTGCGGGCACCGAGTCGTCTGGCAAGACTGCGGGCATCGAGTCAACTGGCGGAACAGCGGGCACCGAGTCGTCTGGCAAGACTGCGGGCACCGAGTCGTCTGGCAAGACTGCGGGCACCGAGTCGTCTGGCAAGACTGCGGGCACCGAGTCGTCTGGCAAGACTGCGGGCACCGAGTCAACTGGCGGAACAGCGGGCATCGAGTCAACTGGCGGAACAGCGGGCATCGAGTCAACTGGCGGGACTGCGGGCATCGAGTCAACTGGCGGAACTGCGGGCACCGAGTCGTCTGGCAAGACTGCGGGCACCGAGTCGTCTGGCAAGACTGCGGGCATCGAGTCAACTGGCGGAACAGCGGGCACCGAGTCGTCTGGCAAGACTGCGGGCACCGAGTCGTTTGGCAAGACTGCGGGCACCGAGTCGTCTGGCAAGACTGCGGGCACCGAGTCAACTGGCGGAACAGCGGGCATCGAGTCAACTGGCGGAACAGCGGGCATCGAGTCAACTGGCAAGACTGCGGGCACCGAGTCGTCTGGCAAGACTGCGGGCACCGAGTCAACTGGCGGAACAGCGGGCATCGAGTCAACTGGCGGAACAGCGGGCATCGAGTCAACTGGCGGAACAGCGGGCATCAAGTCAACTGGCAAGACTGCGGGCACCGAGTCGTCTGGCAAGACTGCGGGCACCGAGTCGTCTGGCAAGACTGCGGGCACCGAGTCAACTGGCGGAACAGCGGGCATCGAGTCAACTGGCGGAACAGCGGGCATCGAGTCGTCTGGCAAGACTGCGGGCACCGAGTCGTCTGGCAAGACTGCGGGCACCGAGTCGTCTGGCAAGACTGCGGGCACCGAGTCGTCTGGCAAGACAGTGGGCTCCGAGTCAACAGGCACGACAGTGGGCACCGGGTCATCAGGTATCGGATTGTCTGGCTCGACAGCGGGCATCGGGTCACCAGGTATGACAGCGGGCACTGGGTCACCAGGCATCAGGTCATTTGGCTTGCCAGCGGGCACCGCGTCATCTGGCAAGGCAGTGGGCACCGGGTCACCAGGTATGACAGCGGGCTCTGAGTCAATTGGTACGACAGCGGGCACTGGATCAGGTACCGGATCATCTGGATCAACAGCGGGCATCGAGTCAACTGGCCTAATAGGATCGTCGGGCTGGATCAGTTCATCATGCTGAGTAGCGGCATCAGGCTGAATGCAGGCATCAGGCCGAGTAGAGGCTTCAGGCCGAGTAGAGGCTTCAGGCCGAAGAGAGGCATCAGGCCGAAGAGAGGCATCAGGCCGAGTAGAGGCTTCAGGCCGAGTAGAGGCTTCAGGCTGAGTCACGGAAGGCAGGTTCACCGGTTTGGATACTGGCAGGATGGTATTGGTTGGAAAGAATTTTCGCTTTTTTCTGGTTTTAAACTACTGGAGAACTGCAAGTAAACGCAGGTCTGCAAACGAATGGAGCAGCTGGAGACAGAGAAAAACTGGAGGATGGAACAGGAGAGGGAGCAGTTGCTACAGAGGGCTTTTTTACAGGGTTAAAGGCAGGATAGGTGCAGCGAGTGGGAACAGGGTACTGACATGCGGTAGATAGCCAAGTATACTGGGCTGTAACTGGAGGAGCTGGTGGGAATACAGGAGTAGAGTTAGAAGCAGGACTGGTTTTTTGTAAGCTGACTGAGGCTGGGTGCAACAAGTCTGTCCATGTCTGCAGTATGGGTTGAACAAAGCTGAGCTTACACAAAGCCTGTCTGGTCAATGACTGCACTGCGTTTATACAATCTCTTAGTGTCTGTGGTGAACATGTGGAATAACGCTCCAGAAAGTAATCCCACATCATCCTCTAATAACCACACCAGGGACTCTACCTGGTCTGCACTAAATGGTGGCAAAAATTCATCCCTGCATTCGGGGGAACCAGATGAAACCAACTCAGCACAAACCTCAATCAAAGGCTGCACCTCAGAGAACTCTGTGCCCTGATCTACTAGAACATGAGCGAGCCGTATACATTCTAGTAGTTGATCCCTGGGATACTCCTTCAGAGTTTGATAAGCATACTCCCTGTCATCAAACACTAGCAGATATAAATACACAACCTCATCCAGATCCATCCTTTCCCAGCAACAAGCCAAGATGGCTTCCCTGTGCAGCCACTTCTGGTCAGGATTGGCCTTGGTGTAATGTCAGGGCTCCAGGTGTGACCAGTGGTGTGTGACTGACGCAGGGAAAACGCAGACCTCAGATATGTTATAAACAATATAATTTATTAACACTAACAATACAAACATAAACGCAGTGCAATACTAAACATAATACAGTGCAAACAAACCAAACCAACCACCCACAGATAACAGTACATACAAGCAAGCGTCGTCAGGCAGGCCGGGTCGATATCAATTGGGCAGGTAGGTACAGGGGGAGCAAGCGGAGATTGGTCGGGGTCACAGGCCAGGTTCAGCAGGTAGCTAGCAGCGTAGTACAGAGGGTCAGGCAGAGGGATGGTCAGGGTCACAAGCCAGGGATCAGAACAGGTAGCAGGCAGCGTAGTACAGAGGGTCAGGCAGAGGGATGGTCAGACAAGCCAGGGATCAGAACAGGTAGCAGAGAATCAGACAGGAACAGAGAGCAGGAACAGAGAGCAGGAACAGAGAGCAGGAACAGAGAGCAGGAACAGAGAGCAGGAACAGGATACAGGGCCCAAGAGAAACACAACACCAAGGCAGAGTCTGCAAGTCTGGCCATCCCTTAAATACCCCAGCATAATCAGTTCCAGGTGTTAGCTGGCTGCAAAGTTGGGTCTCTGATTGCTGGGAGCACCCGCTGGCCAGCCCTGGTACTGCAGATCAAAAGGCAGGTGAGTCCCACCATTGCTGGCTAGTCCATTCCTGACAATATTATTATGAAAAATACAGGTGAGTCTGTTGTTAACCATTTCCAGTTAAGCTTATTCTTTACATAATCAAGAAGAACCACCGACTGCTTTCAATATTTAGAAATAGTAATTCTAGCTGCCAAGAACATATATGTGATTAAATTCACAGATTTTCTAGGGACCTCATCAGATGTCAGATGACAGATCAAGCTGTCCGACTCTGGGAATCTACGAATATTTACTCCTGTCACTGAAAAGAACAAATTAAATATCCAAATCCAAAATCTGGTCACTATAGGGTATTGCCACCAGACGTGATACATAGTTCTCATCTGGCCGCAATACCGAAAGCAAGTGGGTGATACGGACGGGTATATCTTTGCAACCCAGGTAGGGACCAAGTAAATGTTTGTTATTTTAATTTAAAAAAATTAAGCTTTAAAATCACTTTCAGTTTGGAATACACAATTGACTATAGAATTCTCAAACAGAAATTCAAGGCAACAAGTGAAACCAGTTAGTGAGCCATTCCAAAACAATGTATTGTTGTAATACCAGTCAGGCCCAACTTTGGCCTGGGGAAGTGCTGCTGGAGTGATCTATTCTGTTAGGCCCATAGCCTTTGTGGGGCCTACCATGTGCTCTGGACTGGAAGTTAGGCCAGAAGCAGTCCTTAAGGCTGTCCTGTCGGTCGATTATGGAAACTGTGCCAAGATATAGACCAGGAAGAGGACCTTGCTGGAGGAATCCAGGATGAAGGCTGATATTCTCACAGAGGCCTGGTGACAGGATGTATGGAAGCTTAGGAAATTGTACAGAAGGCACTGGAGCCAGCACAAAGAGATATCTGTCGATCAGCTTAAAAGGTTATCTACAGTGTTGCTGGGTTGGCTAAATGGCTCTTACACTGAGAAGCTGGGCATGGATCTGGATATTCCGTAATTGAATTCTGGGTCTCTGGGACGCTAACCATCCCTCCATGTGTGATGAGAAATAAAACTTCTAAAAAGACAGAAAATGACTGGCACCCAAAGTTTTTTCAGTCCCCCATATTTAGCCATGGACTCAGCCCTGAGGTGAAATGCTGGCCCTCCCTGTCTCTGGGGGTACTTCATCTGCTCCTTGAGCTCAGAGGGGTACTACACTCACAACACATCTACCAACCTCCCACTGCCAACTATGTCAGGGCCAGCTCGTAGGTCTCACAGGGCTAGGCCCCCTACTTGGCTCAGTTCCAGCCCTGGTCATACCCCTAATTCCTTCAGAAAGTTCACCTTTCTCACTTTTTCCTTCAATAAGGCTGGACTGAGTCACCCGCACCAGCTGATCCTGGATGTGGAGATCCAGGAGCCCTCATGAGAACAAACAACTTCAAAGTACCTTCAAAGATCAAACTTCCTAAACCAGAGGACTCCAGTGAATGTGTTAAAAATGGATGCCTGGCTAGACAGATATCTTCCTAAATGGGAACCTAGCATCCTGCAGGATGATTTGGGTCTCTGGATTCCTTATACTCCAATCGGTGAACACGCCATGGCAGAAAATCTAAGATTGGTGGAGCAACATAAGCCAATAGTAGCTAATAAAATTCAAAAAGAGCTAGAATTCTCCTACACTCAATACCACAACTTAAGAATTTCCCCTTTGGTTATTATCCCCCAAAAAAGACCCATGAAAATAATAATTCATCATCTTTCCCACTGCAGTGGCTCATCTGTCAATGATGGAATTTCATGAATTCTAAGGTGCAATATGCATATTTGGACAAAGCGTCATTGCTGGTTACAGCATCGGGAACAGGCACCCTTTTTGCAAAGTCTGATATTGAATCAGTGTTTTTAGCTTCTTCCTGTTCATCCAGATTGTTTTAATTTACTTTGGCTTTGGATTCCATCAGAATTTTTACTTTGACATGTGCTTCCCATGAGATGCTTTATATTTTGTTACTATTTTGAGATTTTAATATCTTCCTCTAATGGGTAGAGCTGGTTCAGAATCTGCTGAAATACAATGTACTTCAATGATTTCCTGTTTATTGGCCCTCAGTATAATGTCAATACCTATTATCAACCTTTGAATCAGTATGAGCTGAATTCTCAGTTCCCCTAGTAACAGAAAAAATGGATGGCCCCACCCAAATTCTTTTTTGGGTAAAGAAATAGACACTGTCTCTATGGTTTTTGATTTGCCACAAGAAAAGTTAACCAATCTACAATTAACACTCAGAAAAATCAAGCTTGCAAAAAAAACAAAAACTTTGGCAGGTTCAATCTTTACTGGGTCACTTGGTCTTTGCTTGTAGGATTATTGCCATGGGAAGGACATCTTGCTTAGCTTAGTCAACAATGGAGTTAAATCCTCATATTATATAAGAATAACAAAGCCTATGTGATTATTTCTCAGTTTGGTTGAATTTTCCTGGAAGATTACAATAGTTAAGCAGTTAAGTTGAGGTAGCCAGAATACACTAGTGGGGTACAAGGGGTGATAATATCAAGTATTTTCGTGACTGCTCTCAGTTATGCAAATGTGTTTTCGGTACCTTACCTCTAGTTATACATCTTGGAATTAATGACCTTGAAATATTTTGTGTTATTGACCTGATATACAGTATAACATGAAACAAGACTTGGTGTGTTATGTCTTCTTCAATAAGGTCATTATAGTATGGCATGAAAGTATTCCCTGTAGGGTCTGCACTAATGGTATCCCTGGACCTCTTTTGAAACACAGTAGGGTGAATGTAAATTCATGAGTTTCTAAATTTGTTTGTAATTTGGGAGTTCAGGTGGTCCATATCGGAGAAATAGAAGGTGATAACTGTAAACTCTTAAGGGGTAATGAAATGACATTGGTGTGGACATTTTTAACTTAGTCTTGCAGTTTGAAATTGAGCAAAGGAGCTAGCTTTGATGAGGTGCTATATCAGTTGAAGGCTAATGTGTGAATGGTGTTTCTCACCTTGCCAGCTACGAGTTTTCAGTTTAATCACTGCAGTGGTTTGTTCTCAGATGGTGCCTGTCCTGAACTGTTGATTATTATAGGCATAAATGCTACATTATGGTAAGTGGGTGAACACAGGACAGCTGTGACGGGCATAGTTTTGTAGACTTGAATACTATGTTTTTCTGCCTTATTCACTGAGTTTGTTGAGATTGTGAATCAATAATTCTGTGACCTTGCCCTTCCAATCACGGTTTCAGTGTTATTATTATTAAACAAGAAGGTGCAATGTATAATACCAGAGTGGTATGTTAAGCTTATACTTCTCAACAGTCATGGTGGAACCCTTCGGGGCAGTAGGTGTATCAGGAGTAATCTCATCAGGCTAAAAAGTTTTGGAAAAAAAGGGGCAGGTGGAGTACCCCTGAAGCTTGAATAGGGATGGGCCAAGTAGAGTTAAAAAAAAATGGGCTGGAGCATGATCTCTTTTGACTCCCTGGCTCCCACACAGAAAGATACCACTCTCCCTCCCCTATATTTTTTAAGTTATATACAATATTCAGCTGTTCTATTGTTACAGCTTTATAGTCAGTTGTCACCTTGCTAGCTGCTGGTTTGCTGCTTAATCACCTTAGAGCAGTGTTTCTCAACTCCAGTCCTCATGGACCCCCAACAGGTCATGTTTTCAGGATTTCCATTATTTTGCACAGGTGATTTGATCAGTTTCACTGCCTTAGTAATTACCACAGCTGTTTCATCTGAGGGAAATCCTGAAAACATGACCTGTTGGGGGTCCATGAGGACT